TTAAAAGAATGGACAACAGTTCCCATACTTGGCAGCTGCATGTATAGGGATGGAAAACATGTCTTTTTGCATGTACATCATGTCAGCAGCCATACACATTGTAGTTGTAGCTCAAGAATATTATGTGTACAATAATGCTTGTGGATATATTCTTGAGCTACAACTACAATGTGTATGGCTGCTGACATGATGTGTATGCAAGAGACATGTTTTGTACCCACATAACTATATTCATAACATCAACAATAACAATGATAATTTTAAAGCAGGTTATTAATAAATAATAACATTGTGAATTTTTTAAAAATTAGCTGTATGACAACACAGCTAATTTAAAACAATCCACAATGTTATTATTTACAACACAGCTAATTTAAAATAATCCACAATGTTATTATTTACAACACAGCTTATTTAAAATAATTCTTAATGTTATTATTTGATAATCTAATTTACTGTACCTTTTTAGTATCCTCCATCTAAATACGTCAGCAAATATGTCCCTTAAAGAATTGTTTGAGTTCTGTACAGTAAACTCAATGTCGTTCAGTTCTTCCTTTATCTCTTCCTCAGTGTAGTCCTTACGTAACCTGTGGAGGGTCTTATCTGCTTTCTTGCTCTTCCCTTTCTTCACTAGCCACCTGCAGTGAGGGAATGATGCATTGGAAATTTGGAATGTACATGTATAGATGGGCATTTGTCAGCTTCTGTGTTGTACAAATCAATCAAACAATTATATAAAACTCTTTTAGTGTAAATTTTGTGAAGCATACAAGTAAAATCTAACTGCTGCACATGTATGTACATCTATGTATATTAAAGTTATACATTCCATTTCTTAATCATTAGATCTACTGTATTTACACATGTACATGTACAATAATGCTTTGCTTTCTCATGTAGCTCTTCATGATAGCATGACCAGGAGGCTGAGCCCCTTAATGTTTTACATTCGTCTAGTTATTATTATTATTATTATTATTATTATTATTATTATTATTATTATTATTATTATTATTATTATCATTATTATTATTATTATTATTATTTATTGTACCTGGGTGTCTCTGGTAAGAATATCATTCCAATGATAAGTACAACAGCTAACACACACTGGAGACCCAGTGCTATCCGCCAACCAAAATCAACTGTATGAACAGCAACACTGACACAAAAACTGACCTAGAGAGAGAGAGAGAGAGGAAGAGAGAGAGAGAGAGAGAGAGAGAGAGAGAGAGAGAGAGAGAGAGAGTAGAGAGGGAGAGGGGGGAGAGAGAGAGTAGAGAGAGGTGGGGATAAGTTAATAGAAAGAGAATAAGGGCTAATAATATACAAGAACCATTAATAAAGTTAAGAATAGTAAAAGTGTTACAACTAGGAAAGTGTGTTTGTCATTAGAGTATGTCATTAACTCATCACTAATCTAAATCTAACTATTATTAACAAGAGAATACTGTAGGTATCATTATAATTATATGTACTCTTGATTATTAATTTATTATTATTACCATTATGCCGGCTGTGATGAAGAGCTGGTTCAGTGAGACTAGCCTTCCTCTTAAAGTCTTTGGTGCCAGCTCAGCATTATATACAGGAACAATCATAATCAATATACTACATGTATAATATAAGGAGAAGTTTTTAAATGTGTTGATACCTCCCTGTGGTAGATAAGTTATTTATGAGTCTAAAATAAAGCAATCTGATTGGTCAATTGCAACTAGGCATGGTAGAATAATAACATGCATGCATGTATGTCTCTTTTATTATTCTATTCTCTCCCTTCCTTTTATACTCTTTCCTCCAGCATGGAATTGGTTGGTTGAATGTGTACATGTCAGGGGCGGATCTAGGGGGGGGGGTTTGTGGGGTTGCAAACCCCCCAAAACATTCTAACTCAAAAAATTTTTAATGTTTTTATTGTTGCAACAGTGGTGAAAGTGCTAACCACCTAGTTTATATAGCAACATTACTGTGGTTAATGAATATCATTAACAATGAATGAGCTCCAAAAATGGTAGAAAAATTGATTTTCACGTGATTTTAACCACAAAATAGCGCCGAAAAGGGGGCGTGGCCAAAATTTCGGCGCGCTTC